TGTACTCCCCTCCCCTCGCCACACACCGTTCCATTCGTTTTTTCCATTGGTCAAAGCAATGCTGGAAGTCTTCTTTTGTAAGAGCATTTAGGAGCTCCGCCGATTTTCGCTTCACCTTTTCCATCGACTCGAACCGGGTTCCTTTTAAGGCAGACTTGATCTTCGGAAACAGGAAAAAGTCACAGGGTGCTAAATCAGGCGAGTACGGCGCGTGTTCGAGCACTGGAGTGCCTCTAGCGGCTAAATAACGCTTCACAGACAGCGCGTTATGGGCAGGTGCGTTGTCCTGGTGTAAGATCCACGACTTGTTTTTCCACAACTCCGGCCGTTTCTTACGAACTCGCTCTCGCAGTGTTGCCAAAACTGTCAAATAGTAAGTTTGGTTTACAGTTTGACCCTCTGGAACCCATTCAGTCATCACGATGCCGTTGATGTCGAAAAAAACGATTAGCATGGCTTTAAATTTTGATTTCGACATCCTTGCTTTTTTCATTCTTGGCGATGCAGGAGTTTTCCAGTGCATGGATTGCCGCTTAGTTTCAACATCGTATTGGAATATCCAGGTTTCATCGCAAGTGATGATGTTTTCCATCAATTCAGGCTCTTCATCTAACCTCTCAAGAAAATCTGAGCAGATCTGTTGACGGACGAGCTTTTGGTCAGAGGTCAAATTTTTTGAGACCAACTTCGCACAGACTTTCTGCATGTTTAATTCGTCATGTAAAATTTTTCTGACAGTTTCTTTATCGGCGTTTACAGTCTCAGCAATCATCCGAATGCTCATACGACGATCTCCGCGCACAATTTCATTGATTTTGGTCACTGTTTGCGGAGTTGAAACAGAGACAGGTCGACCTGGACGTTGGTCATCTTCGGTGCTCTCTCGGCCTTCAGAAAACCGTTTATACCATTCGAAAACACGCGCACGAGATAGAGAATTCTCACCATAGGCCTCTTTCAACAACTTATAGCACTCAGTCGGAGTTTTTTTTAATTTAACGAGAAATTTCACATTGATCCGTTGCTCGTGTTTTTCGTCACACATTGTTATCGGCACGAGAAAAAAACAAGTTCGTTTCTAACCTCTATAGAAAAAATACTACTACTGCGACAAAAACGTGTTTTCGTACTGGAATAGTAGACACTTCCAGCTATCCAACGCTGCATTCGTTTCCCACCCTACCCCTCTAGGACGCCTTCTGCGCGCGCAGTCTCATTATTTAATAGCCAGACCTCGTATACGTACTACACTACTTACGTACTACAATACTTTTTCTAAAGATATACCGAATATTTCAAATCACTCGTACATCCCATTTAAACACGAGGGAAATGATTATTTTGAAAAATATTTCAGAGACAAAAGTTGAGGATCAAGTAATGCATTACATGGGCATATGCGATTGAACTTGGGTGACGTTGTAAGGTTCATGCAAGGTTGACTTGAATTTTTGTAATGGAAACCCGTATCTTTTATTGCACATTCTTGTTGTATACCTCAAGGCGTTTTTGAAATAATGGTTACAAATCCTTTTTAGTTGAGATCTTCCTAAGTTATGAGACTTCCAAATTTCAGTACCGGCGTTAGCATTACCTAAGATGTACCGAGTGGAGGTCACTTACTGAAATTTTAAAGTCTCATAACTCAGGAAGATCTCAAATAAAAAGGATTTTTAATCATTATTTTGAAAACACCTTGAGGTGAACTACCAGAATATGCAATAAAAGATATGGGTTCTCATTTCGGAAATATCTTGACGGCAACAACAAGAATATACAATAAAAGATATGGATTCTCATTAAAAAAATTCAAATCGACCTTAACGTGATCTTCACGACATCAATCGCATATGCCCCAATGCACTGCTTGATCCCCAACAACTGTTATCTAAAAAATTTTTTTAAATCACCACTTTCCTCTTTTTTAAATGAAATACGAATGTTCTGAAACATCCGGTATAAATGAAAATGTTTCATACTATAACTAATAAGAGAAAATGCCGGTTGAAAATTAGTTGAAGCTGGATCTTCATTACTTTAAACAATTCAATCTTTAAATTACTAATATACACTATATATGTACTTCTATATTGTAGTCTTTTCGAACTTTGCGCTGAATTGTTTTTTCGGACTATTATACGTAGGCTGCTGGAAAAATTTCTGCAATCTAGTACTTCTAGTGGCGCCAACGTTCTGCTACTATTATATCCGTAAAATTGTCCAACTAGTTTTGTTTGCATAGTATTTTAAATGAAGTTATTTTGTAAGAAAATGGAAATTTCGCGTGAAAATTTTCGGGCACTAATTTTTTACGATTACAAATGTAATCTAACTTCGAAACAATGCATCGATCGACTTCATTTGGCTTTTGGGAATGAAGCACCATCCAATAGGACTGTTTATAATTGGTTTGCCGAATTCCAGCGTGAACGTACCTTTCTTAGTGATGAATTCCGTGAAGGTCGTCCATCCACGTCTGTTGTTGCCACTAATATGATCTCACGAGTTGTTATTCGCCGGTTTGCATCAATTAATGCCTTTATTGTGTCTTCATCAGCTTCAACTGGCCTTCCAGAACGTGGTGCATCTTCAACATCAAAATTGCCGGATCGAAATTTTGCAAACCAGTTTTGGCACTGGCGTTCTGTCAATATCTTCTCCATACACATCGGATAATTTTTTTCTTGCTTGAACAGTATTTTTACCTTTTCGATAGTAAAAAAGTAAAATATGCCGAAAATGCTGCTTTTCACTATCATATTTGATAGGGTATCAACCAAAAAGTACTGCGTAGAATCAATCGAACTTTATTCACAAGCAAGCCTTGCTATATCAGCTGTCAAAATATATAATGATTATGCGGCTTAAGTGTGAAGTTGGCTGTGAAAAAATACAATAAGTCCTCTGTTGGAAAAAAACGAAATTACTTTCCGAACAACTAGTTGCTACTGTACTGATACTATACGGATGGATTGTATTGCATTTGTCTTTCACGCTACTTCGCGCAGCCAATACGTACGCGGTACCAATACGTACAGGGCTCGCAAATAGAGAAGTTTTCGTTTATATTTGAAAAATGGATTTTCGGAACATAATTATCATATACGTAGGCTGCTGGAAAAGTTTCTGTAATCTAATACTTCCAGTGACGCCAACGTTCTGCTACTATCATATCCGTAAAATTAGACGTTTTTAATCTATAATTCAATTGACAGTTTGTACCCAAACCAACTAGTTTTGTTTGCATAATATTTTAAAAGAAGTTATTTTGTAAGAAAATGGAAATTTCGCGTGAAAATTTTCGGGCACTAATTTTTTACGATTACAAATGTAATCTAACTTCGTGAAGGTCGTCCATCCACGTCTGTTGTTGCCACTAATATGGATGCTGTGCGTGAAATGATTGAGCGAGACCGGCATATAACATACCGCGAGATTCAGGCATCTTTAGGCATTGACATGAAAGCAATACATACGATTTTGCATGATCACTTGAGTGTACGGAAACTTTGCAGTCATTGGATCCCACACAATTTGACCGAAGCTCAAAAACAGGCTCGTGTTAAATGGAGCAAAGAAATGCTCAAGAAATTCAACCAAGATCGGTCAAATTTGGTCTACAACATCGTTACTGAGGACGAAACATGGATCTATTCGTATGAGCCCGAAAGTAAACAACAAGCCACTGTTTGGATATTTCAAAATAAACCGAAAACAACAAAAGTTGTTCGTTCACGCAGTGCTGCTAAGCAAATGATTGCTTGTTTCTTCGGTTATACCGGACATGTGACAACCGTGGATTTAGAGGAGTCATAAATGAATTGCGTAGAACAAACTGAAATCGTCGCATCATCTTTTATCATAACAACGCCAGCTGTCACACAGCACGTCAAAATGTTGATTTTTTATCCAGTAATAATGTCGAATTGATGACTCATTGTTCGTTTTCACCTGATTTATCACCTAATGACTTTTTTTTTGTTCCCAAACATTAAAAATAAGATGCATAGTGAGCGATTTGAGTCGCCTGAAGCAGCTGTTGAAACATTTCGTAGACTGATTTCTGAGGTTACAGCATTAGAGTGGAAAAAATGCTTCGAAAATTGGTTCGAGCGTATGCAAAAATGTATCGATCTTAAAGGCAAATACTTCGAAAAACAATAAAGCCATTTACCGAATTTTACATGTTTTTTTTCATATTGTTTGCAGAAACTTTTCCAGCAGCCTACGTATAAATGCAATTAAAACTACTCTAGTAATCGCGAAATAAATTGACAAGCAATTTTAATAATTTGATGTTACCATCAAGCATCATATTATAAAGATGTTAATATGAAATATTAATATTGAAATTGTTAATAAATTTATTGCGAAAAATATTACTTTGGTCAAAACTTGAATCCGGATCTCTTGTATTCCGTACGAGCGTCCTAAGCCATTAGACCATCGAGGCTTTAGTAATATTCTTCGCAATAATTGGTACAATAAGGAAACAACGTTTTTCTTTTAGGTGACATAATATAAACAATATTAAGAATCTTTATTTTAGATCGCATATGTGAGTAATAACTGTATAATCTAATGCATAAGTTGTAATTTATTTTACCCAAGGTCGCTGTTTAAAACCCTGAGCTGAATCGAAATAAATTGAAATGAATTGATATCTGATGACATAAGTTTATTTCTGTTCATGAAATGGATAAAAAATAAAACAACGACTTGAAAATAAAGGACTCCGCACCAATCTCATATATTGCAGCTTATATAACTTGCTAAATAAAACATATAAATTTGAGAACAAAAAGAATGAACAGTTTTTATGTTTGATTTGCCTACAGTCACCGACAGCTCACCATAAAATACTCAATAACTTTGAAAGAGCTGATCTAAAGTAGATAATATTATAATGCTTTGACAAGGTCTTAACAAGAGCTATAAAAAAGTGAGAGAAAAAGTGGAATCCAACATAAAAAATGCGAGTTGACCTTATTATGATCTCAATGACGACACCCAAAGTCAAACTGAGGAAGCCAGTGGTTAGATCTTTTTAAACTCTACAACATTTATCTACAACATTTTTTTATAAAACTTACAGCTTTCGATATATTTTACTGTCTTGGACTGTTTTGGATTTTACCTCTTTATATTAATTATATGGTGCCATATATAATTATATCCCACATATAATTACATACTATCAAATATAATGTCCAAAATACTCGTGTATAAAACGTATACTTTCTTACAAAATGTGTAATGTAATTCTCTACCCTTAGTAATCTAGGATCAATGTTTATGGACATGGTAGGGGACTGGTTCTGCGCGTGCGTGCGTGTATGTGCGCGCGCGTGTGCGTGTGTGTGTATTATAATTGCATGACGGAGCATTTATATGCACGTACGCACTCACTCACTCACTCACTCACTCACTCACTCACTCACTCACTCACTCACTCACTCACTCCCTCACTCCCTCACTCACTCACTCACTCCCTCAGTCCCTCAGTCCCTCAGTCCCTCAGTCCCTCAGTCCCTCAGTCCCTCAGTCCCTCAGTCCCTCAGTCCCTCAGTCCCTCAGTCCCTCAGTCCCTCAGTCCCTCAGTCCCTCAGTCCCTCAGTCCCTCAGTCCCTCAGTCCCTCAGTCCCTCAGTCCCTCAGTCCCTCAGTCCCTCAGTCCCTCAGTCCCTCAGTCCCTCAGTCCCTCAGTCCCTCAGTCCCTCAGTCCCTCAGTCCCTCAGTCCCTCAGTCCCTCAGTCCCTCAGTCCCTCAGTCCCTCAGTCCCTCAGTCCTTCAGTCCCTCAGTCCCTCACTCCCTCAGTCCCTCACTCCCTCAGTCACTCACTCACTCAGTCACTCAGTCACACGTAATGGTGGCCTCTGTTGAAGCTCGAGTACGGGCGCATCTCGACGATATTAGCCTACCATAGATTGTTGTATCTTTGAACTGATCTATGACGTGCCTTCGCGGAAAATTTCTTATCGCCGAAGCGTGCAATTCCTCAACGAGTCGACATCTCTCAGAACTAATTTTTCTCTTTTCGCTGGATCCCTTTTTCATGATTCGACGCATAATACATAGGGTATAAGAAAAAAGTATTTTTTCTCGCTGACGCCACTTGACAGACTCGTTTTGTCGATATGCAATTTAATTTATAATAAAACCGGCTTCGCAAAATTCCTCGATGATTGACAGCATCTGGTTGTCGTGAGCGTTGTTGGCTGCTCGAGGCGAATCGTCGAGCAATCGTAGACGATCCACCAGCTCATTGGGATTGTCCCAATGTACGTAATCGCGTGTTATTGCATGCACGTTATTGTGTGAGGTAATATCTTTCTAGATTTTATCTGTTTCTTGGGTGTGATCGACATCAAAGGCGCGATTACATATTTATCCCTTACTCAATAATTGGCCCTGCGAATGATGATTGTGTTTGTGCGCGTTGGTCGCCAACAGCATGCTCTTGTACTTGTTCTTCTGTTTATCTTGCGCTCCCCTCAGGATAACCTCGACATACTTTTGACCCAGCGGGCCCAAGCCGGCTTGCAACGCCTCTCGACCTTCCGATGTTTACAACCGATTTTAAACCTTCGTTGCTAGCGTTTTGAAAATGTTCTTCAACGATTCTATCGTCGGTACGATCGTCGTACATGGAGTGGAGGTTATCGGCTGTACACGATTCGACAACTGCAAATTAACCAATGCAAAATTTTATCTGAATTCGGAATATTATCCGTACGATGACTTGATATGGATTTTGATAAACAGATGTGCGATTATGTACGACTTGTACGCGCGTTTCTGCATCATATAATATATTGAATTTTTATCGTAATTATATGCGAATTGATAGTATATAATGTGATAACAATGTGATAATTCATATATTGAATTTTTATCGTAAATCTTATGTAAAGTATCTATAGCATCGCTATTGTTATTTCTACAGTTTTGACGTAAATGACACAAAATATTTAAATTTATCGTTTATAATATTAGTATATTGACACAAATCGAAATATATGTGCTCGACACATTGTTCGAGTTCAAGCAGTAAAAAGTATAGTCGACAGTTTCATGTATAAACACTTTTCACTTAAAGATAATTTCACATTGTCAATATCACGTATTTTAACAAGTTTAATGACAAGTCCAGTATCATTACTTTCGATGGCATAGATGATTGCACCAATCGCTGGATATCTACACGTTTTTCGATGAACGCCATTCACGTAGCATGCGACAGGATGATGCCTCGGGTATTCAGTCCCGTTTCTATATGAGGGGTTGGTCTTATGACGATTCCAAAATTTGTAAACCGTCGGTGTCAACGCTAATAGTCAAAATGGTATGAGAAGACGCGCTGTAATGGAGAAGAATAAAGGAATAAATAATATATAAAAAAAAAATCTTCACAAATAAATATAATTGAAATACTTATTTGTTCGACTCATGTTGAACGTATTCCAATCCATAGCGCTGGAGATCACTGCAAAACGAATCTATCTGAGCGACTGATGCAGTATCATTGCTCCACACATAATCTCTATTTAAATCTTATCCCCTCCAACAATTTTTTGTAACAAAAAATTTTTAGACATCCGACAATGATATTAATGTAATCTGACACCACAAATTGCAATGTCAGCAAATTTGTAAGTTTTAATATAAGAAATTGCTTGTCAGCGTAATATAAGAAATTTTTTTCAAGGACAATTAACATGTTTCGCAATGTCAATGATTAATGTAATATGCGATGCGATACAAATGCGAGGTTATCAAATAATATGATATAATTGAGATGCGACATTGCCAAATAGTGCAATATTAGCTAATATTAGGTCAATTAGAAAGTTCCGTCCGTTTTTTGCAAAAAGTATGGTTTTATTTAAAAAACAAAATAAAAAAATACCTTAATCAAAATATTGTCCATCGTTAGCGATGACTTTTTCCCATCTTTCGGGTAGTAAGCGAATTCTGTGGCGAAAGAATGATTCATCTTTGGAGGCTATCCACTCAGAAACCCATTTTTCGACGTCTTTATAAGAATTGAAGTGTTCCTCTGCAAGTGCGTGTGCCATCGAAACAAGTGATAGTCCGAAGGGGCACAGTCTAGTGAATAAGCCGCATGGGGTAGCACTTCCCAGCGAAGTGCTTCTAACGTTTCCTTGACAAGTTTTGTGACGTGAGGCCGAGCGTTGTCATGAAGCAAAATCACTTTATGCTGTCTTGTTTCATTCTAGTCGTTTTCCGTGCAATGCTCGACTCAAACAGATAATTCGTTCTCAGTAGAGATCCCCTATGACTGTTTGATCACATTTCAACAGCTCGTGGTACACTACACCCTTCTGATCCCACCAAATACAGAGCCTTCTTTCCGTATATTCCGCTTTGACGTCGATGTCGATGATTGGCCTGGATTGCAAATGGTGTTTGGGGTTATCGAAATAGATCCACTTTTCATCGCCAGTCACAATTCGGTGCAAAAACCTCTTTCTTTGTTGCCTAGCAAGCAAAATTTCGCAGATGGTTTTTCGCCTTTCAATGTCTCTTGGAGAGAGACTTTGACGCTTCAATTCATATGAGACCCATTTTTCTTCCTTGTAGATCTTTCCCAAGGCTTTCAAACGATCGGAAATAACAGATTGAGCACAATTTAATGCTTCTGGAAGTTGTTTTTGTGTTTGACATGGGTCTTTATCAATGCCTGCAATTCTTCGTCTTCAAATGCTCTTGGCCGTTCCGAACGCTCTTTGTCCTCCACATCAAAATCACCATTTTTAAAGCGTCAAAACCATTCTCTGCATGTTTTATCGGAAGGAGCACTATCACCATAAACTCCTACAAGCATTCGATGAGCTTTAGCTGCAATTTTCTTCCATTTGAAGCAAAAGATTAACACTTCGCGCAAATGACGCTTATTCGGCTCAAATGTCGACATTTTTGATGCAGTAAAAAGCAATGTTATTGATGCAAACGTATACTTTTATATACTAAATTTTATTGACAGATGGTAAAACTAACAAATTAAGCTTGGTTTAGATATTAGAGTTATATATCAACAGTTTTAGCTACAGCTACTCGCCGCTCAACGGAATTTTCTAATATATACTGCTTCGTTAATGTAATATAAGAAATTTTTTTCAAGGACATTAACATGTTTTGGTGATGACATCATTAATGCAATTTGATACAACACCTGCAAAAATACAACATTTGTAATTTAATCGAACTATAGCTGCTTTGTTAGCGTAATTTTTTTCAAGAGTATGAGATGTCTGATATCATTAATAAAAATAGCGCACATAATGATATAAAAATGACAAGATTTAGTAAAATAACGTTATTAGTCAATTCGACAGTGCAAGTGGCAACATGGAGCGTGATTTGATTGAGCACGTATTATCATTATAACGTGTTTAGTATCGACAGATATTACACACTGCTCGTATGACAGCTCACTGACGGGCTACCGTTTTCACTGTGATAAGGATAGTATAGCATGGTTTGCGGAAGAAAAAATTTGGCGCATAGTGTACAGTCTATAATTTCGGCTAATGTACCCATGGCGGATTTCACGCGAGACGACTGGCAAAAATTTAACAGCGCCATGCATTGCCACGTGTGTGAGAAACATTTGCACCAGATAATACGCGGGTACACGACCATTGTCATTTAATCGGGCGATACAGAGGTCCCGCACATTCAAATTACAATCTAAATTATAGGGACTCGCATTGCATAATTTTCCATAACTTACCAGGCTATTCAACGCGCATTTTGTCATCAAGGAAATTGCCACCGCATACGAAGGACGCGTTGATCTTTTATCGATAACTAAAGAAAAATATACTCGTTTACTAAACATGTCGATAGTACCAAAATTGATAAAAAAAATTGTGTAAAATTACGGTTTATAGATTTATATAGATTTCTCGCTTCTAGTTTGGACAAATTAGCGTCTTTTCTCAGTAAAGATAAGCTACGGATACTGCAACATGAATTTTTCAATTTATCAGAAAAAAATTTTAATCATTTGACACGAAAGGGCGTCTTTCCGTACGAGTACATTGACTGTGTCGAAAAGTTGGAGGAGCTGTGTTTATCGCCTCGCGAGTCATTTTACAGTTCATTGACAGACGATACGGTATCTGAGAACACTTACGGGCATGTCGTCACCGTGTGGCAGCGGTTCTCCATCCTAACATTCGATGAATATAGTGACCTGTATCTGAAAATGGATGTATTGTTGGCTGACGTTTTCAAAATTTTGCGTCGCGAGTTATGGGCTTGACTCCGTGTATTATTACTGGGGTTCACGCCCAGAACGCCATGTTAAAACATACAAAATACTGGCGTAAAATTTGAACTGCTCACAGACATTGACATGATCATGTTCATCGAGCTCGGTAAACGCATTGCTCTGAGTCAGTGTTCAAATAGGTACGCACAAGCCAACAACAAATACATGCCGTGGTACGATCCATCGAAACCGTCATTGTACAATACTTGACGTCAACAATCTGTACGGCTGGACAATGTGTCAACCATTGCTTTACGCCGATTTTCGATGGGTCGACGACGTACAAAATTTTGACTTTACGACTATCTCGTTAGATTCGGCAATAGGCTATATTCTCGAGGTAGACGTGGAGTACTCGCAACATATTCATGACGTGCATACTGATCTACTGTTCTGTCCGACGCGCGAGAAACCAGCCGGCAAGCGCGATGACAAGCTCCTCGCAACATTATATGACAAATAGTGTTACGTCATACATTATCGTAGACCTACAGCAGTGTACTCGTCACGGTCTCCATATCACAAAGGTTCACCATATACTGCAATTCGCGCAATCTCTATGGCTACGCGATTATATAGAACTAAAATTTAGAACTTTGGTCAAAAATTATTTTGAAAAAAATTTA